TCTGTCCATCTGAGAGTTCCTGTCCAGAGACTGGTGTTTGATCTGTGGTTTCCTCTTTGCCCACTGCCTCCAGACACTAGCTTCACTGACCCATCGCTCACGTTGGCCAGATGCTTTCGCTCATGTCCTGCCATCTGAATGCTCACATGCTTCTTGCATCCAACAGTAATTTATGCCTTTATCTTTTGCTTGTAGAGTGTTCCACTTCATGAATCATTTCTCTATATTCTCCTCGTTACATATCAAAACACCACATCTCCTTTGGGATACAACTGTTCTACAGAGTCACAAAGACTTTGCACAACGGGATTTTGCTTCTGCAGAGACAAAAAGAAGAGCTAACATTCCTGACTAAGCAGTTTTGTCTTGTGTATCACAAATCAGGGGAAGGAAAGGGAAGAGGCACTACTTTAGCTCAGCATCCGTAGGCCTTCTGTCTTTGTAGGTCCAGAGGGTCAAAGAGAGAAAGCGACTCTGCTCTGCGGTTGTGTGTTTGTCCATTAACAGCTAATAGCAGCTCTGTTTCCCCATTATCGCTAATGGATACAACTCTCTGGATGCACACAGACACACACGCTCTGCTGGGACCATTACTTACTCTCTCATTCCCATGCTGTCAAAATTAGCCATGCAACACAACAGCCACGCACACACACGCACCGCGTTTTTCACAGTTTTTCTTTCTAAATGTCTCAGAAGACAGGAAGTGAGGGCGTTAGGGCAAACAAGGAAGTGTTTCCCACGGCAACCAGAGAGCCGGCCCGCGTGTCTCACTTGGCCCGTAAACTGTGTGACTGATGTAATGATGAGACGCAGCCGGGGGAATCCAAAGTGCCCGTTGACTGTTTTAATTGTCTTCTCGCCTCTCTTCCCTCTCTCATCCCTCCATCCTGACACTTCCTTCCCCACTTCATTCTCCACTCTTTGCACTCTTTCCTCATTTCGTCATTTTCAGTTTCCTGCATCCCAGATTACCCTTTTGTATATTCTTGCTTTTTTCCGATCTCTATCTCAGTGTCTTTGTGTCTTCTGTATTCACCCTGAAATAAATTTTGCCCAATTTCCTTCATTTTTCCACATAATTCAACTAAAATAGAAGCAAAGCACACAGATGATCAACAACAGGGCTCCTTGTTTCATACTTGGCTGGGGCCCATGAGTCTGAAGTCTGACCAATGAGGCTCTCTCCCTGTACTCATCCTACAGTCCAAACACATTCATATTTGGTCAACTGGTGATTCTACACTGAATGTGAGTGTGCATGACTATGTGCTTTGTTGTTTTTTTTACAGAGTTTATGCTGCCTCTGCAAGATAATGAGAACTGACAAATCAATAACATTTCAATAGACATAAACAAATGTGGAGAACTTAACTTCCATTAGCACCAGTGTGTTTGTAACTTATTGTAACAAAGTGTGTCTGTTTAGCCCCTGTGGTAACTAACAAACGCAACAGTTTCTTCCAAATAGCTTTCCATTGTGAGGAAACACCTTAAAGGTCAGACATTTTTTCTGGCATCATACATCCACGCTTACCTCATAAGGACAGACAGAAATGGCTTGATAGTCCTACTTTGTCCAATTAGGATTGCCTTATAGTTCCCATGCTTTCTTATGTTAGAATTTGAGATTGAGAGTAATTTCTGGTACCCATTCCTGCAGTTTTATCATATACTGACCCTCTCATTTATATCAAACTGTTACTCTTGTGTGGATGTACACAGGTCTGTATGTGTACCATAAAAAAGGGCATGAAGCTACATTTTGTTAGCCAGTAGAGCAGCAGAAACACGTTTTCTCTGAGCTGTGTGCTGTGCATGGGAGGAGATACTGTGAAAGTGGAAAGACCTGTGAATATATCAAGTTCAAGTTCTTTTCGCTTGTTGAGAATGACAGTCACAAAAGTCTGACCAGGAATGGGATCTGTTGGAGTCATGACCTGTTGTTTTCCCGAACAGAGGAAAACAACAGGTAGTACTTTCATCTTTCCTTCAGGAATCCCGCTTATACGCGAGCCATCGCAGCCTTTTTCCTGAAGCATCCTCTTTCCCAAGTCTAAAACTCAAGCTGACCGTCACTAAGATCACAACACAGAGCAACATGGACACACACACACACACACACACACACACACACACACACACACACACACACACAGAAGCAAACACTCATGGATCTTCCAGTCCACTGCTTCTCTCTCTCCAATCAATGCAATATTAATGAGCCACAGCCCTGCTGGCTACTCGGGGCACTGTGTTTGTGCGTGCGTGTGTTTCTGTGTGTGTGCACGCATGAAAAAGAGACACAACTGACCATATCTGCATGTACGGTTTCCCCTGTTGTTGGGACTGTGCAGACTAATAGGTCCTTGCTGCAGTGCTTTGTGCTACACGCAGTGGTAGCATGTGAATGTGTCAGTGTTTTTTGTCCTCTGTTAGTGTGTGTGTGTTTGTGTGTGTGTGTGTGTGTCTGTTCCCCTAAGCTAAAGGACAGGCCTAAGGCTAGGACTGTCAGACTCAAGGTCACACAGACTCATGCAACTGTTCATCTGGATTCATCCTGACCATACTGTAACCTTTATCCTGTCCTGAACTGTTTTCATTAAAAATCAGGGAGAGAATTCCTGAAACACCTCCCACTATTACTGACTGATGTCTAATTAAGTATAGAAGCTTTATTATTTGTAACTTGGTTTGTATTTAGACTGTTATATTCCAGTTGAGCTCTGTGAGCTAACAACAATAGCTTCCTCTATGTACATTTCAGTTCAGTCCCAACCAGACTGCTTAAGGAGGTTTCCCTTTGATCAATAATTCCATTCTGGCTTTTATCCATCCGTTTGAGTTGACAGGCTATGTACCACAGACTTGTAATTTTGCAGTAATTAAACCTTTACTTAAAAAACGATGACTATCCATAGATCTACAGTCTATCCGGTTTCTTTGTATGTATGAAGTTCTTGAAAAAAGCTGCAGATAAACTTTATGATTATCTGCATATGAAGACTTCCGTTTCTAAAATGTACATCATAGCACAGAAATTAAACTTCACACCACAGTACTGAGAGTTTTCCACTCCTACCTACTGGAGCGGCTGGACTCTACTCTGTTTTTTCTTTTTTTTAGGGGCTGGTGCCTGAGTTGGGCTGAGTAAGGCCCACGAGTCATGGGGTTCATCAGGGTTCTTTGTCAGGACTGTTTCTTTCTGCTATGTATATATGCTGTTTTACAAACTTGTAGCATAACTGTAGATTACTACGCAACTAAGGAATGCTCATCTGTGAAAGTAGATTGTTACAATCAGATGGTTAGACTCCATGGTTAAACGAACAAAGAAAGTATTGCTTCTAAATCAAACAAAACTAAAGCTGTTGTGTTTTAGTACGGGAAGAAAATCCCAATTAAAATAAAAGACATTTCCCTGTCTTACAGTATTATAATTGGAAATACTGTTGTTATTTTTTACCAGAATCTACCTTTTGACAAGCATTTAACACAGAATTCTAGTAGTATCTTTTTTCTGGTACATAAAATTGGAAAAATGTTTTTTGGGGATGCGGAATAATTAGTATGCAATTGACATTGGACAACTTTAATCCTTCGTAATTGGACTGTTCCACAAAAAAAAGCTGAAAAATCTCCAGCTGATCCAAAATGCTTCAGCCAGAATTCTGATAGAGATGTTACAGTCTTTTGAGTTTCACCTTGTTTGCTCTAACCTTCACTCTTTGACTGTAGGTTTATTTGTGTTTCCTGAAGCTTCTGAAAGGCCCCTATCAGGCCCCTTTCTATGGAACCAGGTTCCACTCGGGCTTCAAGAAGAAAAAATCTTTCTCTAATTTTCACATTAGGCTTTGAGCCTTCATTTTGATAACATTATAATGGGGGATGGATCAGGTAACTTGAAATATCTATGCTGCCGTGAACCTGGACTAATGGAGGACGTCCTACGATGTGAATGAAGTTTATCCCAAGATCTGCAACGTTTTGCTAAATATCTGAACATAAAGGCCATTAATATTCATAAGGAAAGTTAATGTAGTATTGTTTGAAAATAAGAATAATTTCCTTTCCATTTTATGCAGGTTTTTCATCTCTGTGAAGAAGATCTGAAATTCCAGTATTATCTTTCTGATTTACACGGTATGGTGCGGTATGGTACAGTTTGATGTGGCATAGCACTACCAATGCTAAACGTTCCGTTGCAGAATGCCCCCTCAAAGCTTGTCCCATCAGAGTGTATAAATTTGCAGCGACACAGAGAGAGGAGACA